CCCCACCCCACCCCAGGGTCACCCTGCCCTGGAGAAGCTGCGCCAGGGCTTCTACGAGTGGCTGCTGCAGAGCCAGCAAGAGGAGCGGGCCGCTGAGGTGCAGGAGGCTCAGGGCGACCTACCGGCGGCCGTTGGCCTCTACCTGAAGGCTGGCTTGCCAGCCAAAGCAGCCCAACTGGCCATGGGGCGAGAAGAGCTGCTGAGCAACACAGACCTTGTCAACCGTATTGCCACCGCCCTCGTGCGTGGGGACCTCTTTGAGCAGGTGGGGCATCTCCTGAGCTGGGTGGGGGTGTCTGGGGTTGGGAGGAAGCAGCGGTCCATGCTGGCCTCTTCAGCCAGGTCCCTAAAGCCCTCTTCTCCCTTGGTGGCCAGATGACAGCCACGGCAGTGGTCTTCAGGAAGGGGCTTCAGGAGGCGGGCAGCCTTTGGGCTCTGGAGCCCTCCAGCGAAGGCCCCTAGCCACAGAGGCAGACTTTCCACCCATGTGGGTCTCAGATGGTGGGGAAGAGCAGGCTGGGGGCCCAGGTGAGAGGCCCTGATTCCTTGGGGGGGGGTGCTGATGCTGCTGCCGCCGCCACCCGCCTCATCCTGCCCCAGAGACATCCTGGCAAGGCATCCTGGCTGCTCCCCACCCCATTGCTCTTTTTCAGGCTGGGGAGCTCTTTGAGAAGATCCGGAACCCTCAGAGGGCCCTGGAGTGCTACCGCAAGGGCAGCTCCTTTCTGAAAGGTTCGGCTCAAGGTGGAGGGGCAGGGAGCGGGATGGCCCGCCTGACCTTGGGGAGGCCTGCCAGACCGACCTCGGCTTCTTCATGGATGGGGAGTTCATTAAACCTTTAGCATTCTGCCACTCTCTCTTTCTCTAGGAAACCCCACCCCCGGTCCGTCTGTCCTTCTCATTCTTTGTCTGGGACCCAGCCCCTAAAGGCAAAGAAGGGAAGAGTTGGGGAAGGGTCTCCCCTGGGTCTCCGTCTGCCCGCCTGTGGCGGCGCAGCGCAGGCATGGCCTCGATGGAAGAGCCTGCCTGTTCCCTGTGCCCAGTGGGTCTTTCTGGGAGACACCCCCTCCTCATCTCACCTCTCCTCCCCCCCCCACTCTCCAGCGGTGGAGCTCGCTCGGGTGGCCTTCCCAGCAGAGGTGGTGAAGCTGGAGGAGAGCTGGGGTGACCATTTGGTGCAGCAGAAGCAACTGGATGCTGCCATCAACCACTACATAGAGGCTCGGTAAAGTTCTCTCTCTGTGTGCGTGCGTGCATGTGTGCGCATGATGCTGACGCTGCTTCCATCCAGGGGAAATAGGGTGGGGTGGGCAGCCTGTGGGAGCTTTTCCTCTGAGCAGCGCAGTTGGTTGGTTGCCTCCAGGTGTGCGGTGAAAGCTGTGGAAGCTGCTCTCGGTGCCCGGCAGTGGAAGAAGGCCGTCTACATCCTAGACACGCAGGACCGGAAGATGGCAGCCAAGTATTACCCCAAGATCGCCCAGCACTATGCGGCCTTGCAGGAATACGAGGTGACCCCCCCCCCCAACCCCTGCCTCCCTCCCTCCCTTCTGGAGCAGCAGGCAGGGATGCGCGGCTGAGAGCAGAGCCCGGCGGCACCTGGAGAGTCGGCTGACGGCGCCCTCTTCTCTTCCTAGATAGCAGAGGAGCTCTACGTCAAGGGAGATGCCATCAAGGATGCCATTGACATGTACACCCAGGCCGGGCGTTGGGAGCAGGCGCATAAGGTGAGTGGGGAGGAGGGCCCCCCCCAAAACCCCTCCCCCCTCTTTGGGTCAGCTATGGGACCTGAGGCTGGCCTCGGAAGGACCGCTCGCTGGTGGAAAGCGGGGCAGCCGGGCTTTCCTGCCTCAAGTGCCTTCCTCCTAAGCGGAAAGATGGGGGGGCAGAGAAGAAGGGAATCCCCTCGCTGGGGCAGCCGGAGGGAGGGTGGGGAGGGTCGGTGTCTTCTGCCTGAGGCACCCTTGAGCAGGACTCGTAAGAGGAGCGCCGGGAGCCAGGATGAGGTGGGCCCTCTTTTCTTGGGGCCCCCCTCCTCGGGTAAGGAGGAAGGGGCCTTTTGCTACCCTGCCTGCTCCTAGCCCCCCACCCCACGCCCCACCCCCTTCTCTTGCAGCTGGCCTCCAAGTGTATGAGGCCGGAAGACGTGTCCGTGCTGTATATCACGCAGGCCCAGGAGATGGAGCGGCAGGGCAAGTACAAGGAGGCGGAGAGGTGGGTGCTTTGGGCCCAGAGCAGGACTTGGGGGAGCCAGAGGAGTGACAGGGCCGGTGGGTGGGTCAGAGGGTGGCGGGCAGGCAGGCAGGCGGGCAGCAGCCTTTGGGGGAGGTAGTTCCCTGGGGCCACGGTGGGCGCCCACTTTGCCTGCTCAGGGCCCCCGCCCAGCGAGCTGCCCTTTCAAGGTCTCCCCCTGCCCCTGCCCCTGCCTTCTTCCAGGCTGTACATCACCGTCGACGAGCCGGACCTGGCGATCACCATGTATAAGAAGTGCCGGATGTACGACGAGATGATCCGGTTGCTGGCCAAGTACCACAAGGACCTCCTGAGCGACACCCACTTGCACTTGGGCAAGGTAGCGTTCGCTGGGCTGGGCTGTGGGGGGGGGCAGTTGGGGAAGGGAAGGCAGGGGAGGGGAAGGGAGGCCAGCGGCTCTGGTAACTGGCTGACTTGGGGCGCAGGAGCTGGAAGCCGAGGGGCGTTTGCCGGAGGCCGAGTACCATTACCTGGAGGCCAAGGACTGGAAGGCGGCTGTGAATATGTTCCGCGTGAACAACATGTGGGAGGAAGCCTACCGGGTAGGAGCCTCCCCCTCCCCTCTCGTCCCCTCCCCTCCCCACGCTGGCCAGCCGGCCAAGCCCCAGCTCCTCTCACCCTCCTCTGTAGATGGCTGGGGGAGGGACTGTGGGGAGGGTGGCCCCGGCGAGACATCCCGGCCCGTTGGCTACCCGCAGCTGATGGCAGTACGAGAACTGCTGTGCGAGTGCCGTTGGGGGGAAGGGGAGACGGGTGGGCTCCCATTAGGCCTCCGTGAGAGCAGGATGCGGGCTCCTCTGGGCCCTGGGTCCAGGGCAGCCTTGCAAAGTGGCCAGGAGGACCTGCCACCCCCTCCCCCCGCTGAGTCCCTCTGTTCTGACCCGAGGCAGGTGGCCAAGGCGCACGGGGGAGCCCATTCCCACAAGCACGTGGCCTTCCTGTGGGCCAGGAGCCTTGGCGGGGAGGCGGCCGTCAAGCTCCTCAACAAGTTTGGGCTTCTGGAAATGGCCATCGACCACGCAGCGGATAACAAGTGAGGCATCTGTGTGGGGAGGGGACTCCCCGTTGGGCATCCCCTCATCCTTGCTCATGGCCCTGGAGGGGCGAAGTGGGTGCCCTTTGGGGGGGGAGGAGGAGGACAGCTGAGCAGGCTCTTCCCCTGTGGCCATGCCCTCCCCGGTCCCCCCCATTGTGGGGGCTTGTGGCTCAAAGACCTTCCTTGACTGCAGGGGGCGGTCGGGGGGGGAGGGGAGAGCGCGGAAACGCTCAACCTCTGGACGGTTTCTCCTTCCACAGCATCTTTGACTTTGCTTTTGAGCTGGCCAGGCTCTCCATGAAGCAGAAGCTTCCCGAGATCCATTTCAAATACGGGTCTTTCCTGGAGGACGAGGTGGGTGAGGCCTGGTGTCTGGGGGTGAGCGGGGTGTGTGTGCTTGCGCGCTTGTCCCTTTGCTTTCTTTCTTGGTGGATGGGTGGAGTGTGAT